AGATACAATACATGAAGAAGGTCAAAGGACTGAAACATTTTACTAATAAAAGTGAATTAAGAGTCAAAAATCTCTAAAGGGATCCAGTGTTATGATTGCTGGATCTGTTGTATCCTCATCACAAACATACCTGGATTTGTGTTTTGTTTCATTCACGCTTGTTTAACACAACTCTTCATATTTAGCCTCAGTTTTTCTCTCAAACAGAAAACACTCTGTTCCACCTTGTGGTGTCATGAGGTTATACAGGAAGTGCTCTACCGTGCCTTTAAACTCCATACACCTTCATTAGAATCAGTTGGATGATTTCAGCCCTGGAATGGCCAACCTCCACTCAACTAAAGGTACAAGGTAGCCGTTAACTTGAAAACTACCATTTCATGACATCACAAGGTGGAACAGAGCATTTTGAACTTTCGAAATGTAGACAGACCAATCATAAAGGGTTACGCAAACATGTGTGAATGAAAAAAAACACAACACCAGGTATGTTTTTGATAAACATAGCATAAAGCTCACAAGAGTCAATTTTTATTTTATTTATTTTAACATACTATAGAAGCTATACAATACATTACTGGTGTACGGCCTTAGAGCCCTTAGATCAGAGAAGGTGGGGTATAGCTGAATACTTCTATGGAGTATTATCACATTAATCACTGTGTTAAGTCAATCCCCTTCAGAGTGCTATCACACCACAATCAGCATGCAGTCTGTTACTACTCCTACTACTGCACATTGTATCAGGCTTATCAAGTTGACTTGTGCACTTTTGTGTCATGTTTTTGTATATTTATGGAGAATTGTCATGTGGGAGCAAGGGAGACTTAGGCTTATGGGCTGAGCGTTGCACAGAATCTTACAGCTAACCATAGGGAGGGTTCAAATAGTGTGGGAGAGATCACTTAAATGCTCAGACATGATTGGGTGACATCTAAAATCTCTCCAGGCATGTTTTTGATGAGAAGACAACAATACAACATGGTAGAACTCTCAATAAATCAATTTAGCATAATACCCCCTCTTTAAATTAAATCCATAGCAACAAGGTCAAGTTAGATGCGATCCACTGTGGTTTAATGCCATACTGTGAAACATTCCAGGCCAAGAAATCACATATAGTCAAACTTTAAAGATGCATTGTGTAGCTTTTCAGGCAAAGGGTCCACCACCTGCTTGTCTCCATGGAGATTTTATTACTTTGTCTGCAATGTTTCACAGTGTGGCATTAAACTTCTCCATCTTCCATTCATTCTATTATGGGTGTTTTTATTGCTCAAAGTACATGCACACCTACACTCCTCTCCACAGACCTGATTGGTATCTTTGTCTGGTGGCATTGCCTGCTTGTTTCCATGGAGATTAAGGTAAGTTTAGTACCACACTGTGAAACACCCCAAGGAAAGCAACTGCATCATCATGGAGACAAAAATGCAGGCAGACCCTTCACCAGAAAAGTTATACAATGCACTTTTAAAACAGAAATTAGACACTTGAACCTGACCTAAAACCAATGAGCCAGAAATAAAACCTGAATTGTGGTTCATGTTGTAATGGCAAAAAGCATAAAAACAGAAAAGCACAAACTCTATGTATGTGCTGTATCCTCCCACTCAGACCAGGGGCTTCTGACAGAGGGGTTTTCTATTGAGTCGCTCTAATTTTACCTCCACCCGCTGCTGCATATAGGCTACGTCCCACATGGATCTGACAGCACACACACACACACACACACCAACACTTATCACAGCAGCAAGAAACAAATGAGCAAGATTAACAAGAGTTTCAGACCATTTCGACATAAATGCATGACTTCTTATATACTACAAACAGATGTGGGTTGAGATACAATAGAGAGAGAAAGATAGATAAATAGATATGGCATAACATCTGATTTATAATTTGAAGTTAATGTAACTGAAAGATAGCCTAATTTATCAGCCAGTTCACTTCGTAGAAACCATCTGACCTCACAGTGTTAGAATTTGTTTGCTTGACGGTGTGCAGGTACTTTTTTTCATTTAAACCAATTGCTGGTATTTGGTGGTAATGTATGTAATGCACCACTGGGCTAACTGGTATATTAAGCTTTTCCCAAATCTGACCCCAAATCTGAACCCTGCCCTGAGCCAAATTTCTCTGATGAGAAGATGAAATAAAAGAAAACCTGAAACCTGAGGACAAAACATTAAATAGTGTTGACAGTGTATTCAAATCAAACAAATGTTCAAAATGTAATATTGTCAACATAAAAGAAGTGTCACTTAGACTCACAATGGGAAGAGTAACCAATACTTTTACTCAAGTAAGAGTATTCTTACACTGTCCAATAAGTAAGAAGCAATAAGGGGTAAATGCAAGGTGGTTGAAAACTGCTTGGAGAAGTACAATTGTATATTCTAGTTATCTGTGCATGAGTAATATAAGTACTATCCACCTCCGATTCTGCACAATTGAAAAGGGCAATTACAATTCTCCACCCTAAATAATTACTTTGAACAAATATACATGTTTGGTGAGCTGTAAAACCAATGAGATGAGTGCAAGTCATTTGTGTGCATGTCTGAACATTGTCAGAATTAATAGAAAGACCACATTGTAATAATCACCAAACACTGTGCAAAATGCTTCCAAAAATAAAACTGTAAATTACTGCATTAGCCCTGGACTTACACAGGCACTGACATCATCATGTCCACTTTCTTGGATCTGTTGCTTTAATTACCTGGAACTTACAAAACATACTGAAGATTCTCAGTTGCATTTGTAAACCTACGTAAGTGTTAAGTGAATCCAGTAAACAATCTGTGAAGGTGTGCCTTTTTCTCTCAGTTACATAAGAGCAGTCTGACTCAGGAGCCACAGGAAGTCTGCAGTGAGAAGGCTCTGTGTAGTGCACCATGGGACATTTATACAAGACCTCTGAGTGGACTAACAGACATGGGAAAAGCCATGGAAATCTGTGCTGAGGTTTATGGTTACATCAAAAATACACAAGTACAGACTCTGGTGTGACTTGGATAGAGATGAAAGATGTACAGTAACTTTTCTTCATGAAGTTATTGCTTATTGCCTTGAATATTCCACAGTATGGCATTAAATGTCTCGATTAAAGACAAGCAGGTAATGTCACCAGAACAAGTTATAGGTCAAATCTGTGCTTACTGTGCTCACAGTAAGAATGCAAGCTTTTCAAGGTATAAAGCACTAGTTGTATAAATGTAAGATAGATATGTTTAATGCCATACTATTAGACTATCCCAGGAAAATCAATAACATCTCCTAGGAGAAGAAGAAGGTGACAGACTCTCAAATGAAGAGGTCACATAATGTACCTTTAATGTGTTTCTTTTTTGAATGAAGCTTTACTGCAACTTAGTCAAGATTGTTCTGTGACTCAACCACTTGTCACTGGTTGGTATATTATTTACAAAGTATGAAGGAAATGTTGCTCCATCAATGCAGCATATGCTGATAGCGCCATCTGACAGAAATATCAGTGAAGTAATGCCATAACTATCTTTTTCAGACAATAAGTTGAAAATACCTAACTTTGTTCTTTGGATCAGTTCCTCATATTGTAACATAATTAGATTTACATGAATAGTGTGAGTAGGTGAGTTGTGAATTCCACCTTCAAATAATTGATATGATCTAAATCTGAGCTTTGTTTATTTAAATATATTAACATCCCGTGGCAACAAAACCCATAATGCTTCTTTTCTCCCACTCAGAAGTTCAGCTGTTTTTTCAAAAACTATTTTCTCTCTCCACCTGTGAGCTGGCAAAAGCAGTGCTCAAAATCCTACACATGGCATTTGCATAGTTTAATCATTATATTATAAATTTTGCAGCAAGTTGCACTGTGAAAGGGCTGATAGAGAAAGTGCATGTATGCATGCATGTGTGAGTGATGTAGTTCAAAAATAGAAAAGGATCCATCATGTAGAAAATGTTTTGATCGTTGATCATTTATTTTTATCTGCATAGCATTTGTGGATTAACTACAATGTTTTACCTATATGTAAAAGTATTATTTAGGCTATAACTTGACAATGGTGTTTGTATATCTGCTATTTAACTTATCTAACATGACTTTATTCAATTACAGGCTTAGATTGCTCAAGAAACACACATGTTTACAGTAGGCACCACTCTATTTGAGGGTCACTAAATGTCACTTGATGTTTTAACATAACCTTGAACAATTTGCCCTCTGTATTATAGGCTCTGCCAGCAGTCACATGTTTCACCTGGTGTGGTGACTCTGGTGATGCTTTGGCAGCTGAGGGCAGTGGTGAAAGGTAGATATTCAGGACCTTCAAATAGCTGGGATCGGTGGCTGTTTCGGAAACATTAACAAAGATAATCTCCTGGAGAGACTTCATAAACAAGTATGCAACCACTCCACTAATGATATACAGTGGAACATTTTGGACAAAGCAATGATATTTCTATGGAGAGAAAAGGACGCCAGGCCCATAACAGAAAAATGACAGAGTGCACCAGAGTCACATTTTTTTTCCCCAGACATGATGCTTGTTAACCAAAATCTACTCCCCTATATGTTTTGCTGTGTTTTGTAAATACAAGCTAGTGTAATCAGACCTGTGTCCCACTTCTGTGCTTGGGGCCTGAGGTGGCGGTCCGTCCTGTTGTACCGTCTCTGAAACCAATTCTCCTTCAACCCCAAACCTCCAATCCTTATGTTCAGTCACTGGACTCTGTGCATGTAAAAGTCTCTTTCAGTCAGTAGACAATTCACATTCTTTAAATTGTGTCCATAATTTGCTTGTAACAATCTTAAAGCGTGCGTATCTCCCAAAAAAGAATGCGCCAACCTCTTGTATTTCATTTTTAAAGTTTTCCCTTGAATTCCTTCCCTCCCTTGCACCCATGCCCTACCCCCTCACCCCCTGTTTTTGCGCGTGCCCGTGCGTAATGCGCGTGAGCAGCAGGTAAACGTCACGGGCTCGTGCGTGCGCAGCGGCGGAGGAGCAGGCTCGTGGGCGCGCGCCGTACTTCCTCAATCGAGGGAATCAGAGAGCGAAAAACGAGAGAGGAAGGCAAAACATCAACTTTCAGCGAACCGCGGCCAAAAGAGAAAAAAAGCGGAGTTTTTTCCAGACAAGGAGGTGAGTCTTGTACTTATCACTTCCTTTTACGAGTGGACTTTGTGGTTTAAATCCGAAAAGTTAAGAAAAATAAAGTTTTAGACAACAGCTCGTACATTTTACAGCATTTTAACCCATGCCAATGCGCAACGACAACCGCCTAGTTGTTCCCGTTACTACGAGGCTGCTACACAAACTTACAGCCAGCCTACATATATCAGTCAGTGTTTACTTGGCACGCTAAAGCTGGTTGGAGTTTTGATCATGCCAACATCCTGGTTTAACTTGGGTTGCACTGCGAACGTGGCGGCTTATTTTCCAGAAGGCAAGACCATAACCATACCTGCTGAATGGTTGCTTGCAAGGTGTGTAGCGTAGAAGTGATCCTACAGTCGTTAGATGCGCGTAAAATGGTTAGGGACTCGTATAGAAAGCTGGAAACACGTTGCACTATTGATGTAAGGAAATTAGGGTGGATTTGAACTTATAAGGGAGAAGTTCGGTGTTGAAATGTTGAACCAGCGACGAAGGGCGGTAAACCACATCCTAACTACTCCGACGCGCGATGTCATATTGACTACATTTTTGTGACAGCACAACAGCTACACTTGTCACTACTACCTATCTTAAAGATGCACTGTGCAACTTTTCTAGTGCGGGATTCCGTAGGGTGCTTGTCTCCTTGGAGATGATATTGCTTTGCCTGGGAGTGTCCACAGTATGACATTTAATTGATTTAATCCACATCAACTACAGGTGTTTTTATTACAAGATAATAATACATCAATGAAAATGTATGGAAAAACGGGGTCTCCACAGATCTAACCCGTAACTTGGCCTCACAATTTTGCAGACCTTATCCATAGAGACAGAAGATCAGATGCAATACTTTGGGACATTCTAAGCCAAGCAAAAGAAAATTTACATATTGCTGGAAGAAATTCTCATTTTGAACCAGAAAACAGATACTATAAGTGACAAATATGTGGTAATTTTTTAGTGACAAGGTGTTTACAGGACCATTTCCTGAGTTTTGAAAGTGACAGCAACATTAGCAGTAATATTTGTCTAGTCATATGAAAAATTATCTAATATGATCCACAGAGTTAAATAATTGTAAGAAAACATCTGCTATATTTGCCAAAAGTTTTAATTATAGAACAAAACTAAATTTGTATCAGAAATGTGAACAAAATCAATACTCATCTGAACTTCACGATATGTGCTATGTAGATGTCCCCTTTGGCACAATATCATAAAGGGCGTATGTGAGTTATTAACACAATTTGAGAGAAAAATGACTTGCTTTCCTTCTCCACATAGCAGTTATCATGAATAAAACATGACTATTTGAATTGTAAACTAAGGTAGGAGTTTGTGAGTAATATTGGCAAAATGCTAAATATGTTTCTAAAAATTAATAGTGGAAACCATGATATTTTCCATTAGACTTACAGAATGCTATTGACTGTCTGTCGGTCCATAAGAACATGGGCTGCACTAGGGATGTAACAATATAACATTTTTAAAAACTTAGTTCTTTCCATTAAGTCTTGTCAAGGCATTTTAAGAGAAAAAAAGTAGAATATTCACTTTTACCTTCACTTAGCCTCCATAAAGTATCGCAACAAAGTACCGTGAAAATATCATGCCGAGACAACTGGATATTGTTACATAGCTGTCACGAAAACAAATTTTGAAGTTAGATATGCTGCTAAATAAAATATAGTAATAATAATAATAATAATGATGATGAACGTGATGATGATGATGATGTTGATAATGATAATAATAATATAATTGATAATACTGAAACTTAAATGGATTATCTCCCCAAAAAATGAATTTTAATGTATAACTTTGTTAAATAACATGAAGTGCAATAGATAAATAGCAGAATAACACTTAAATATTAGTTTGTATCTATAATAAGTGATGGAAGTTATTTATTCAACCATCTACTGCTCAAATCTTATTACAGGCAGAAAAAAAGACAAAACATCCCCCCAAAGCAAAGAAATTATAAACATGATAAATGTTAACCCCCAAAATATTGTTCCAGCTTTCATATATTGAACAATAAATCAATATAGTAATTATTATGACAGGCCTACCTGCATACTATGGCTGCAAGATTTATTGCAAATAAATTGAAGTCACAATTTGAATGGATGCATTTCTATACCATAATTTCCCCTGCTGACAACACTGCTTTTTGTCATTTCCTCTGGTTAAAATGTTAACACTGAACAGACTCTTATTATAAAAACATAGATTACAAGTCTAATTGTAATTGCAATGGTTTTCATAATAAATCACAATTTTACTAAATTGTTCAGCCCTCTACCTACAATGATTATTAATAATTGCATTGGCAGTGGTAGATTACAGAACACCAGCAGCTCATGGGGCAGACTGTTCGATGAAATGGACTGGACAAATCAAAGTTGTACATGAAAAATCAATGCTTTTCGCCCTCTGTTCCAAACTGACATCGACCAGCTCTCAAAACGTCATCACAGTAAGTCCAGGCTGAACAGTCATTACCAAAGGAAATTAATGCTCATCAAATCGAATGCGTTCACTCTTCACACGCAGTCTGGTTCACTACTGTTTCTTCCTTGGACACAAACCAGATCAGGTCTAAACCAGGTCTAACCCGGGACTAAACCAGGACTAAACCAGGACTAAACCAGCATTAAACCAGCACTAAACTAGAACTAAATAAGAACAAACCAAGATTAACTCCGGTCTAAAGCACCTCTGATAGATATGATGCTAAACAGACTATACAGAACTGTACTAAACCAGATCTAAACAAGGTATAACCCTATACTAATCCAGAACTGATCCAGGACTAAAACAGGACTAAAACAGGACTAAAATAGGACTAAAACAGGACTAATCCTGAATAACCCAGGACTAAAACAGGACTAAAACAGGACTAAAACAGGACTAAAACATATCTAATCATGTCTAACCCAAGACTGAGGAGTACAACATGTCTAACTCAGACTACCCCAGGACCAGGACTAAACTCAGGACTAAACCAGGACTAAACCAGGACTAAACCAGGACTAAACCAGGACTAAACCAAAACTAAACCAAAACTAATCCAGGATTAACCCAGGACTAAATCAGATCATTGGTATAGATTTTATAGGTTCCATTTCTGTAGAAAAATGAATTTTAAATACTGAATTTTAATACTCCCCTTACAAAAAAAAGTCATAGACCAGTCCATGACCGCCCTTGATGTTCTTGATTGTGCTTTCCTGTGTTGCAGTTTTGGTCATTATTGTCCCGGTTTCTCTCTGTGGCAGTTTCAGTCGTGGGTGTCTGTGGATTGGAGGGACTGACTGTGAATACCAGCTGCTGCCTGTGTTTAGATTTCAGACGTGCTCCGACTCGCTCCGTCTCTGCTTCAGGCAAACTAAAAAAAATATATCTAAAAACTAGAAACTCCAGAAACAGGAAGTCACTAGCAAGGCCTGGGAATGTAATCTAATAAAATAATTAAAATAATAATCCAAGACAATTCACAAACTAGAAATTTTCTTTGGCGATATAATGTAATATAAAGCAATGAATATGTAACTAGAAGAATGTAACCTAAAGAACTGACAAACAAATACAAGAACATTTCAGAACATATTTGTACAGATCTAAACTACAGGGTTAGCAGTTTTTTATGTAGAAAACATGGTATTTTGTTGTTTGGGAAGGGCGTTATTGTACTACAGAAATTGCAGACTATGATTTGCTAATTGCGTCCTTTCATACTGCGATCCCCATTTGATTGCGATTAATCTTGCAGCCCTTATATTGATAGTAATTACAAATAATAGTACTAATAATTACACTTAATTGTGTATTTCCTGCTACACTACACTACAGCAAACTACTAAGTACCTATCACTAACACTATTGGTATGTCTACAACTCCTCCCACTGCTATCGCTGCTAATAATACATATATTATGCCAAATTCACAGCTGTTACCGCCCGCTACTATTATTACTAAATCTACTATGAATTCTACTACTATTACTACTACCACTGCTATTATTATTACTACTACAACTGTCTCTACTTATACTGCTGGTTGTGTTTTCCCTCACACAGGAAGTTCAGGGGCATACGTGCTGTGCTTGAGGTTAAGATTATTTGCATGTTAGTTGCATTTCAAAATCAGAGACTCTAAAGGTTCTCTCAAGCTCTGATAAGACGTTTTTCTAAACTGTATTAGAAACCATGGTGTCCTGTGTTGCTTTTGAACCAGTCAATAATCTAGTCAATAATCTGTGAATTAATTTAACACTATATGTTTTATTTTAAAACTTTGCCTGTCCTCTAGGCCAAGTAAGAGTCAGGTTCGTGGAAATGGAAGCCTGCTGAGAGTAAAGACGCACATTTTTTCAGTGAAATAATAGTGAAATTGGGAAAAGAACAAAACAAAAACATGCTTTTATTTTAGTTAATTTTTGTTTGGCACTACTCTTCCTTTTCTCCATTAAAGGTAAGCAGGTACTCCACTCGGCTGAGATTACAGGTCTGATCTGTGGAGAGGCGAGCCTGCACTCATTAACAATGCATGTTTTTGAAGATACTTTTTCAGCAACAAAACACCTGTTATTGAATAAATACAGAATAGAACGGCATAGTTAGGGCATTCTAAGCAAAGTAATATAAACTTCATGGAAACAAGCAGGTGGCAACCCCTCCACCAGAAAAGTGGCATACGGCACCTTTAAGACTTGGTTTTGTTGTGCGTTAGATCTATGATTTTTCTGCTTTAATCTTTAGTTTCAAGGGTGGTTGTTCTTGTTTCGTGGTTTTGGTTAGATATGCCTGTTGCTTGTTCTTTCATAATTTGGTTTGGTCAGGCCTTAGTCAAGTTTTCCCATGAATTAGTTCTGGATTAGTTTTGGTTGAGTCATGGTGAAAGTTAGCCCAGCCTTAGTCCTGACCTGGATATAACCATTTTGTAATTAAGCTAGCTAAGGTTATTAATCTCTATTTTAGGAAGGCTCAGTTTATGCAAAGAAAAAAAAACATACAAGTACTCACATTTATTTGGGTCATACTTGAAATCAAAAGATGTGGAGGAAGTAGAATGATCATTTATTAGTCATGTTTTGTGATTCATGTTTTAAAAGCCACTATTCGCGGGACACAAGAACCTCCCTTATTTAGAGGTGACAAGTGACCTACTCAGTGAAATGTACTTCAGTAACTTCTTAGTAAGATTCATTCACTCAGAGTGGTTTTCAGACAACCTACTTTTACTTGTATTTGTCTTATGTAACACACAGTGTAGCAGTCCACTTACTTCAGTAAAAGTTTTTGTTCTCTTCTCAGTGTGAGTAAGCCTACAAGTGACAAAGGCTTTATGTTGACAGTGACAGTGATTGAACATTTGTGTTTCTTGCATCGCTCCTTATATTATATTTTTTTATTTGTTTCATTTTGTTGTCTATCCTTTGATACTAGTAAGTAGATGATTTCATGTTTTGTTCTTCTTATTAACTTAAACTAACTTACTACTAAGTTACTCTTACTTTAGTCATTTCTAGGACCACAACTTTGTACTCTTAATGTTGCCACACAAATTTTTTTCGGTCCTAAACAATTTTTAAACATGCAACAAACAGCTCACACTACAGACTTTTAGAGATTTTAAATCTCTGATGGCAAAGACTGCTGCAGGATATGGCTGTATACCACAGACTAAAGTTGTGACCGCACAAAAAGATCAGAGCACTGCATTTCTAGTGTAGATGCAAATGTGTTATTATTTGTGAAATGTAGTGCAATACTTCAGATATGTGAACTGATCTGTACACTGTGTGGATTTAGACAGACACACGAACTACTCTCACCTTTTTACTTTTAAAGAACGCTTCAGATTGGATTAACTGGACTGTTTTATGGACTGGGTGTCATTATTTGCAGAGGACAAATTCTGGGGATAATGTAGATGAGCTACTGCAGTTTAAATGTACAACGTTACTAGAGGCATCTGCCCCTAACGGTCTGGTTTATTGGCTGTTACCGTAGCGCAGCTGATGTTTAGTGGTTACAGTCTGACAGAGCAGCTCAGAGTTACACTGACACCACACACATGAGGAGCACAGCAGCTTCAAAATTACACACAAAGACAAAAGTCGGGTCATGCCTCCCCAAACTTGTGGAGAAGCAAATCACATCCTAAATTGGGCAAATTCTCCTGTAGTGTGTGGAGGCCTTTACTTGAGTACAATATTTGGCTGCTCTACCCACCTTAGTGCATATCGTTTAGAACATAACTTAAAAGTACAATAAATAATTTTCGAGAGGTCACATTACCACCTGCATGATTCCATGGTAATAGAATGTTAAAACCATACTTTGGAGAATCTAGTTAAAGCCATACATGAGATAGAGTTTTCTTTTTAATGCTATACTGTGGAAGCTTAAAGCCAAACGAACAACATTTCCATGGAAACAAGCAGGTGGAGGTCAGGTTCAGGTTTATGGAGATGCAAGCCTGCTCACAGTAAGGATGCAAATATGTTTTTATGTTAGTACATTTTTGCTAAAAATGTACACACTGTACATTTGTAATAGATTGGAGCCATTATTACAACTAGATTAGAAATGTGATTCTCTGCAAAATATTGGTTATATTTAAAAGCCAAATATTCCCTGGTAGCACTTGATAAATGGGGATACTGACCTATATGTATGATTAAGAGAGAGAGGTGTGACAAAAGCCTTGGTTCTGCTTATATTATGGGATGTGAATGCAGTGCACAAACTGAAAAGGCTGCTATGGCTGCATTAGATCACATGTATGCACAGTGTATGGGACTAGAGAAACAGCAGTAAGTCATGCATGGAGCAGATAGAGACTGGGGCTCTATCGATCCCAAAGCCACATGCCATCACCCCCATGTTTTTCAATGGACTGAGAAAATCCATATTAAATACAATCCAATAACAGCAAACGGGTGAAACTGAGCTCACAGTCACAGTGTGTTAAAGTTACATAACTCGAATATAAAAACATTTCATTTGGTCCCTCAAAATCATAAACCTCACATTTAAATCATAAACAATGGGCAAATGGAGCTCAACAGTGACTGCCCGCTCCAGTTCTAGAATTTAATTTCCATTAATTTTCCCCATCAACTTTTTGAAAATTTCACATATTAAGAGTTCAAAGGCATCACAGAGGCTAACCAGTTACGTGCTAACTAATATCCATAATATAGATGTTTTAAGTCCAAAAAACACAAGATTCAACAAAATTTTTAGTAACTTTGTAGTTTATAAAGTTTCAGAAACAGATCACAATATAATTATAAGTCTTTTGTTCCTTAGTTACAATGTCACTGATTAGCTCTGATTAGTACATATATATTTTTTGAAAGTCTATGGAAAAATTAATGAAAAATATACTTGGTTGGGTGGGCGGTCATTGAGCTCCATTCTCCAGGTTCACACATAGATTTATATTAGTTTTATAGTAGGGCTTAACAATGTGGAAAAAAAATATCAAATTTCAATAATACTAACAAACATTGTGATTAAATTTGGTATTTATATTTTAATAATAGGATCTTATTCAAAGTTCTTTTTTTTTTCTTCTTTTTTTTCATCAAGTTTTTTGAACACATCCAGAAGAATGGACCAAAGGAATGAAATTGATAATAATAATGCAAGCATCACATTTCAGAACATATTTGTACAGATCTAAACTAAAGGATTAGCAGTTCTTATGCAGAATAATTATCAATTATGGCATTTAAAAATTGCAGCATTTGTAATTTTCTATTTGATTCAAAGTCTCAAGTCTCAAGATTTCTATAAGCTTTATACAGCCTTCTACAGGTATTCTTTGACAAAGATCAATGCCTATGTCTGTCTACATATGGATTTAACCCCAGGGCCCTTCCTGAGAAACGCATAATGAGAATGAAGCAGAGACAGGCTGATATTCACACTTTTTAAGGTATGGGTCTTAAATCTCAAACAGAGGCTGATATTTCTTGTGGTCTTAAGAATAGACATAATGCTTTAATTAAACAATTAAACAATGAAGAGATAATTGAACAAAATGTGACTACACAGCTGTCTTATAGGTTTGTGATAAAACAGGGCTGTGTGTGAGTTTGTAATAAATTTAAATTACATAATTTGGGGAAAATAATCAAAATTGACCCTACACATTGGCCCAAAAATATTGGCATAGCTCATCGGCCACTGGTTGCTCTGGATTCTAAACAATCTGTATTGGTATCAGACATGAAAAAAAAAAAAAAAAACACATCAGTTGATCTCTAGAATTACAGAACAATAGAAGTACAAGCTAATCCCCCAACTGGTAAATCCTGACTGAAATCTTCATTGGCTTCTGTCAGGTTTCTCCAATGGAACTGAAGGAGGGATCAGTACAAATGAATGTAAAGTCACATCAACTCAAGTAAAAGATGCACTAGAACCAGCAACCTGTTTGTCTCCATGGAGATTTTAATGCTTTGCTGGGAATGCTCCACACTATGGCAATAAATATATTTAACTCCACATTCTAGGCAAAGCAATAACATCTTGATAGTGGTGAACCCAAAACCGAAAAAAGTTGCACAGTGCACCTTTAATATGGCAATGGTTTAAATTGAGAATGTCCAAGCTCAACTGATCTCAGAGGTTGAGCAGGGCTGGGTCTGGTTAGTACTTGGATCGGAGACTGCTGGGGTGTCACAGTGGGGCAGCAGAGGCTCTAAGGTGTATTGTTGTTGTGTCCTTGGGCAAGGCACCTCACCCACCTCACCTCCAGTGTTGGATTACACTGGTGTAAGAATTAGAGTGTGTCTACTGGACAATGTGTGTTCATTAAAACACACTGTCCTCACCAAAAAAAAAAAAGAGAAAAAAATCGAATCAATCAAAAAAAAAAAAAAAAAAAACAATAAAAAAACACATAGTGAATATTAAATAATAAATGAATTAATAAATGAAGCTAGATCTGCTATTCACTCCCACCAAAACCATATTTAAAAATGCTGTGTGGCGCGTGACTGAACAACTAAGTTACTTGCCGACAGTAGCTGAGTTGGTGGAGCATTTGTCCTTGAGCAAGACTCTTAACTCACCTTCCCGTAGTGTCTGTGTACATTGGTGTATGAATGTGTGTGAATGTGTGAGTGGTTCCTTGATGTAAAAGTGGTTTGAGTGCTTTGATGGTGAAAAAGCTCTATATAAAAATGTGACCAATTACCATATGCATGTTTCTTCATTAATATGCACTGTCCCCACAAAATAAACAGACACTCGATTGTGACAGTAGCACTGAGTTATATCCATGATTCCCAGGTTCAAAAGTGACTCATTTGTATATTTTTCTCTTCCACAGGAGCAGGTGCCAGGTGACATTGATTCAAAATGGCTCCTTTCCTGAGGATCGCCTTTAATTCTTATGACCTGGGTGTCCTGCCGTCTCTCGACGATCCGCCATTTTGTGCCATCAAGATGAAGGAGGCTCTGACTACTGGTGAGAAACTGTTTCAATGCAAACCTTAGTTATCTTTTGTCATGTATTTCATTTATTGGTACAGTTTTTGCGCAATCCACATTTCTGTTAAAACGTTTTAATTTCCAACTAACCCAACCCAACTAACTCAAACTTGAAGGTCAGTGCCAGAAGATGACTAAGAGTGTGTTGACACTTGCACAGTTGCCACTAAAAACTGAAACTAAATCTAGTCTACACTAAATCTGGACTAGACCAGGACTAAACCAGTCTACATTTATACCCAAACTGGACTAAAACTAAAGTTCACTTCATAACTAGCAGACCAATCTAAGGAGCAATTGTAGAGTTAGCTGTACACTGAGAAACATAAAAAATAGCTCTAGTCCTGTAGTTCTGTTGATTCTATAATATGTAATCACAAATCTAGTGCAAGTTTGACTGATAGTTTATGGCACCACATGTATCTTTTGTTGTAAGAATATAATGACTTCTGTAATTGTTTTCCTTTCCTCTCTGATCCTTTATAGAGCGTGGTAAGACCCTGGTGCAGAGGAAGCCCACCATGTATCCTGCGTGGAAGGCCAGTTTTGACGCTCACATTTACGAGGGGCGGGTCCTGGAGGTGCTTCTGATGAAAACTGCAGAAGAGCCATTGGCCGAGGTCACAGTGGGTGTGTCTGTCCTCGCTGAGCGCTGCAAGAAGGCCAACGGCAGAGCGGAATTCTGGGTAAGAAAAGGGATGAAATACTGAGGTTATGTAAAAACGTACAGATGGGAAAATGACTTGAAGGTCACTGTGGTATGTCTGGTTTCATTTTTAGTTTTTAAGGTGGCGAACTTTGCTTTCTTTTATGACTTGACTTGACAATATTACTGCCAGAATGTTCTTTGATAGCAACATAAATAATATCTTAATATTTTTATATATTCCAATAACAGACACACTATATCAATATGAGCAGAAATGTGTAAAAACATGTCTAACGATATGCGGTACACATATTGAAATTTAGCATATTTTCAATACAACATTCACAATCCACTTCAGTCCACCTCTATTTCTTTCTGTAATGGCATTCATTTATTTTCAGAATGGTTTATTGTCTTGGTCTTGGTTTACATTTGGTTTTCCTCTGGGATTTCTCTGGTTCTTGGTTTAGTCTCCTGTTTGTGTCAGATTCATGTATTTGAAAGGAAGCCATGTAAAAAATACCTGAAATTGGAAAATTCGTAGTTACATAATAGCAGATTTTTTATGAGTAATCACGTAACCATATTGTTTAAAAAAAGTTAATTACAGATCAACCTGCACAACTTTAGAGGGGTAGTAGTTATAGGGGCCTTTTATACCTTCATAAAATTGTATGAGTGTCAGTATTTTCAGATATTGTCAGTAACCATGCTTGGTTTTGAAAGCTGTAGGTTGAATCTGTTTTATTGTTCCAGGTGGATCTTCACCCATCGGGGAAAGTGATGATGGCTGTGCAGTACTTTCTGGAAGGAGGAGACGCAGGTAAAACAGATCAATGCTCAGTCTCCTGTTTCATGGTTTAACTTAAGACAAAAGATTCAGTAGACTACATTCTCCTGAAGCATGTTTAAGACACAACTCATTTGTCCATCTAATTAATTTGATTGAAGCAGTAATAATCAGTCATTTAAGTGTTAAGTTCAATTTATATTATGTATCCTTCTTATGTACCGTTCTGTTAATTTTTTGAGTCTTTGTTCAACCTTGCTGTATTTGCAGACTTGCTCCTTCTTGCTCCTGGTTCAGTGCTGGTCTGTTATAGACCTGATCTAGTTCTGGGTTTTGTCCCAATTTAGACCTAAATTTTAGGTAGTGATAGTGCACATCTGAATGCAGGCATGGTTAGGTCCTGGGTTAGTTCTGGTTTAGACCTTAGTCCCTGTTTCTGCCCAAGTTTATTTACAGGTTTAATCCTGGTTTACCACTATTTCTGTTCAGTTTGAGTCCTAGTTTAGGTCCTGGTTAGTTTTATCCTGGTTTGGTCCTGGTTTGAGCCCAGGTTAGTCATGTGGTAGACTTGGTTTGGTGCTGTTGTAGTCCTCATTTGGTCCTGGTCTAGTCCAGATTTAGGTCCCAGTCTCAAGACTTAATTTTGATGTAGTGGGTGTGTAATTGTAAATCTGTACATTTAGCTATAACTGCAGCCTTAGTATCACTCATTGTTTTACTGTTTAAATACACATGGGAGTTAAAATGCTTTAATGTGTTTGTTTATATTCATTTGTCAGAGAGTAAGCAGCCGCCCAAAGAGGAGGAGGCCCCGACAATAAACCGCAGACGAGGGGCCATAAAACAGGCCAAGATCCACTTCATCAAAAACCACGAGTTCATCGCCACCTTCTTCAGACAGCCCACCTTCTGCTCCGTGTGCCGCGAGTTTGTCTGGTCAGTCCACTGCACAAATCATATCGGACCGTCAATATAAACATTGTGTCTCCTTGGGCTTTAGTTGTTTAGCCGAATCCAAATTTATTAGTTGACTCTATTTACATTTTAAGGGTTTATATGGAACAACAGCAGAAAAAAATGATTATTGAGTGAGCTTGCTAGAAATTCAGGAGTGAATCATGACTTTAATCTACCTTTTTTCAATTCTATTCAAGTTTATTTATTTTGCACATTTAAATTGACTTCAGCTGACCAAAGTGCGTTACATAAAAGTTAACAAAATACTTTTCATATAAATAAGTTAAGTGCTGCTAAGTGCAGTTTGGGTCAGATACTTGGTAAGTAAAATTTTAAGCTTTTGTCAGGCCCCTTTTTATTTGACTAATTGATCAGCAGGGCATGTCTTTGGTCAATGAAGAATTGTTTTAGCCGACAACAGCCATAGTGCTTCTATTGGGTCTAATTATGTAGTTGTGATTGTCTTTTGAGAATCATAACCATAAACTGACATGATTAACTTACATCTTTAATTTCAGATTTTTAAAATATGTCTTTAAAAATGGCACTATAATACTCAGGTGTTTAGTCATAAACATCACACACATGCCTCTGTTAATATATTATATATGTATGTATGTATTGTATGTTGTATACCATTTTGTTTCAATTATTCATTTGAACCCTTTTTCTTTTCTTGTTAAAAGGGGCCTCAACAAACAAGGCTACAAATGCAGGCGTAAGTCTCACATTTGAAGCACTATTGTTATGTATTATTGATTTGGTACTTGAATATTCACATAGTCTGTTTTTCTTTTTCCCAGAATGCAACGCAGCGATCCATAAGAAGTGCATAGATAAGATCATTGGCAGATGCACTGGGACTGCAGCCAACAGCCGAGACACGGTGGTACGTCACATCTCCATATGCCCAAATCTGAGCTGATCCTCATTAACATATTAGTTATATAGTTAAGTTTTGGGTCTGGGAAATAATCTGTATATGTGGAAAATTATTCTAGAGGTTGTACATAGTAGTGATTTTGCTGCTGTGGTCAAAATCTGATTTACTAATACAGTAATTTAAAGTTCAAAATATTGGACTTTAAGCTTTTTATGTGAATATAGCAGCTGTTCCATTTGAACTCACCAGACTGTTATTGGTAATACTATTATATTAATTTATATGAAAAAAAACCCACAAAAAAATTTCCTCTATTTTATGCCCAGTTAAATGTTGTAGAATTGTCAGTATAGGGTGGGCGATATGATCTCAAAATTTTAATTGCGATCAGTCACTCTTTTGGTGACATCATATTATGAATCACTGCTTTTCTGTTTAATGCAGCTCTATGCTCAAACACACTTTTCCCCCCTTCATCACAGTGAAGACTGTCAGCAGAGTAGTTTCAGAATGGTTTATAAAGAGTAGTTACCTTTGTAAACACAATATGAATCTGAAATGTTATAAAATCTAAATCGCAATCTAGAGATCAACTAATGTGTTTTTTTGTTTTTTTTTTGACTAATGCAAATACCAATTGTTTATCCATATCTGATATTTTTGGGCTGATATGTAGGACTGATTTAGAGAATTTCCTCTAAATTATATAATTGAAATTTAGCTCTGGAAAATTGAGACATTAAATTTTTTTGGCATATGGCTCACTTTTAATTTTGAGAGCCATTTTTGATTAAACCTTAAAATGTCAAAAATCTTTCTAGACATAACAAAAAGGATTTCAGTCTAAAATAATTTATTATCAATGACTTATTGTAGCATCAACACACATCAGATGCACATGGCCCCACAGACCAGAGTGAGAAAAGCAGATGGAGTGAGATTGCTGAGCTGTTTTGAGTGTGAACAGGACAGATGCCTCATAACAGTAACAGGTTACAGATACAAACATGTGGGAGAGAAATATTAGCACTTAAATGGTTTCCTGACACCTGAGACACTTGGTTTGGATTCAGTTATGTCCATGTTAACTGTAGACTACACTATATACTATACATATGTCACTATATCAATTTAAAATACATTTCAGGCTTTCAAGAACAAAACCATATGTTAAAATGTGTGATTGTTAACACAGCTTTTTGTTGATCTTTGTTTATTGTTGTTTTCAGTTCCAAAAGGAGAGGTTTAAAATTGACATGCCTCATCGGTTCAAGATCAATAACTACATGAGTCCAACTTTCTGTGACCACTGTGGGAGTCTGCTGTGGGGGCTGGTCAAGCAGGGGCTCAAATGTGAAGGTAACGGTTTTTAAATATATCATAGTGTGTGTAAATGCACAGGGGATGTGTGGAAGCAGGTATAAGGGACTATACTCATAACTGGTAGCAACTTGTTAACATCTAACTTGCAGCTAATTTGCATATTAATGGTAACTGATTAGACACTTTCCTATTAATAAATTACTTATAAACTTAACTTACATAAGAGTAAGGTGTATTCATGAAGTATTGATCAGTAAAAACTACATTTTCCATGGTACCCTTTGTATCCCTGTTACCAAAACCTTTTTAGGATCTTGATTAATGTACAAAAGTGTTATAGCATCTTACTAATAAGCAGTAATAAGCGTACTGATATGTGATATTAATTGTCTAAGCAGCAGAATAAGGCAGACAATAATAATGGCAGAATAAATGCTACATAACAGCTACTTAAGACGTGTACCTTAAAATAAAGTGTTATTCCATTCCTTTTTTTTTTTTGCAGATTGTGCCATGAATGTTCATCACAAATGTCAGGACAAAGTTGCCAATCTGTGCGGAATCAACCAGAAACTTTTAGCAGAGGCTCTCAACCAAGTCAGCCAGGTGAGGACTTCATTCATGTCTGTTTTATGAAGTAATACACTTCGTTATTATTTTCATTTTTTAATGTTTTTTTTTCCATCAGAAATCAACAACTCGGCGCTCAGACCCGACTCTGGCTGACCATCCCGACATCGGCATCTACGACGAGATGAACAAACTGGCCGGACTGGACATAAACGGTCAGATATTTTAAATAGTACCACAGATAAGAACATAAAGATGTCACATGTCTTACAGTGCGCTCACATGGCACATTTTCGACATTGGCCTGATTGGAGGAGGAGGGCATGGCACAGTTGTACGTGCACACACATAACTTATGTTTAAAGGCCCTATATTACGCAAAATTTGCTCTTGTGAGCTTTTAGGCCTGTTAGAATGTTGTTACCTCATCAAATATATCTGGAGTTGTGTTTTGTTTCATCCACACATGTTTGAGTAATCTTGCATTATTAATCTCATAATGAACATTTGTCTTTGCTGTATTTTTGTATCTCTCAGACGGTCCATACGGGCGGCTCTGGGAGGGCTCCAATCCTCGGCCTGTGTCCAGGATCAGTCACATGACCCGCATCAGTGTCGACAACTTCATCTTCCACAAAGTGCTCGGGAAAGGCAGCTTTGGAAAGGTACAGACTAGTGAATGCATTAAGGTTACATGCATAGATTGTATGAAGAAGTGGAGTGGAGTGGAAGTGAGTGTAACTTCACCCATGGCATTTGGCTCCAGGACAAATTAAAATAATAAAATTAATACAATTATTGGTTCATTCTCCTATTTATTTCTTGTAGCTCATGATACTGTATTTACTGGGATTATCCTGCTTTATTTGTATTCTGCCAGTGGCATAAAGTAGTTTCAGTATAAACATGATATTGTGATAAATTGAATTAAAATTAATTATACTTCTGTAGTTATAAATCATGTCATGAACTGGCTCAGGGTTCAGACCAAACTGAGTTCATATATGTTTCAAAATTACACCCAAAAACACAAAGTCGGGTCATGCCCCCCCCCAAACTCGGGAAGGAGCAAACTGAGCTTGAATTAGGCAAATTCTTCTGTAGTGTGTGGCGTCCTTAAAACATTCATGTAATCCTGTTCATTGTCGTTTCTCTGTGGGAGGGAGCAGAGCCATAGCAGTTTAAAGGAATTATAAATTAGGTATTATAAATATAAAAAAACAATGAATAATAAATATATCTTTTAACACATTTAAACGAGCCAGTTCACAATAGTGTTTTTTTTTTATCATGTACACTTAGTTCATGTTATTTTTTTCTGTTGCCTTATTAAGAGGTAAATAGTGTCATCATAAGCCTCAGCTACATATACATATACATTAACTCTATCTATGTTTGTGATGAGGAAACAACATTATAACAGATTTGAATTGAATTTGACCCATCCTTCAATACTGCTGGGGCAACCTGTCAGGAGCAGTGGGAACCTATCTCCTGATCTTGAGCTAGGCTTGATCAGGACGACCTTGGCTGGTAGATTTGACTTTTTGTATATGTTTGGGGATATGAATGGCGAATGACCAAAATAGCATATTGTCACAAGGGATGAGATCACTATTTCATTTTTATCACCGTATCTCTCAGCCCTAATATCTCTTCACTTGGTTTCAAGAGGGGGTTTTATGCTAATTATTATACCATATTATAATGTTCCCTTATCAAAAGCATGCCTGAAGAGGTTTTAGATGTCATCCATACATATTTGAGTATGGGAGTGACTTAACATGGAGAGCAAAGAGAGGGGAGACTCAGAGCATGAAAAATTAAAGTGAAAACATGTGAATACATTGTTTTCGGCAAATATAGGTTTTTCAAAACAATGAAAGGTAACATAGTGATCTAAATATGTTATGCATGAGCAGTTAATACTCCATAGACGTAAAATACCCACTTTAATTTCTGTGCAGGTCCTGTTGGCAGAATTGAAAGGTCGCGGGGAATACTTCGCTGTCAAAGCTCTGAAAAAGGACGTTGTTTTGATGGACGATGACGTAGAGTGCACCATGATAGAGAAGCGTGTTTTGGCTCTGGCCTGGGACAACCCCTTCCTCACTCACCTCTACTCCACTTTCCAGACCAAGGCAAGTCCTGATCCCCACTACAGGTTTAATCCTATCCGGCCCAGGCTGGTATAAGGTTTCAAAGGGCCTTAAATGTGCACTGTTTGATTATTATTGCCTTGCAAGGAATGTTCCACAGTATGGCATTAAACTGATCTATCATGCATTTGTTTTCATGGCTGAAGATAATGACTAGAAAAAAAGTAGAAGCTAGAACTTTGCCTTGTGGAGTGATCAGCTTGTCTTCATAGAGATAAATAGGTTTAATGTCATACTATGGAACTTTCCAAAGAATACATCTTCATGGAGACAATAAAAGTTACACAATGCACATTTAAATGTGCATTATTACTTAGTGTGATGTGATAATACTTGTTTTATAATTTGCTTTTTTCTTTACTACATAATTCCATTTAACTTGTGTCATATATTTAATGTCTGTATGTATCTAAAATGTAGAAAGTAGTAGAAATGAAAAAAAAAAAAAACATTGATTGAGATGGTGTGTCTAAACTTTTGACTATATAATATAATATAAATTGATTAATAAGAAGTCTAACTTATGTGTGACAGGAGCATTTGTTCTTTGTGATGGAGTATCTCAATGGAGGAGACCTGATGTTTCATATTCAGGAGAAAGGACGGTTCGAGCTGTACCGAGCGACGTGAGTAACATAAAACACAACAATGAGCCAAAACATTATGAGATACACGGTTGTTGTCAGTTGTTGATTGAGCAGTCAGAACCAGTGACCAACAGGTTGACTTTTCAATCTCAGCTTCCAAATGAATATTGACCATTTACCACAGTAGTATTTTACCATTTGTAAGCTTGCTCACAGTATGTTTTTCAAAATTTTCTTTGCAATAAAAACACCTTAGTAAATCAAAGGAGAAATGGAGAAAAGTTACAAGGTAGCTCAACTGACCCCAATTAAACTGCCTTGTGGTGTTTTAGAAAATGGAAATTAGAATGTAATGAGTTTTACGTTATATCTTGAAATCATCTTGGAGTGACAAAGTTCATTATCCCACAACATTTAAGCACACCAAATTACAATATACTAATTTGTCTGCACACAATACCAAAACAACTATAATTTATTAACAGGGAAACTAAACTGTCCTCAAATACAACTCCTTAACTGCTTTAAAGATGTTAGATATTGTAGAGCCTTTGCTAGCTCCCCTTTTCCTCCCCTGTAATAATGTGTTTATTAATCTCCTCTGTTCTCCCTTGTTGAGAGTTCTCTTTGGAGGCTACATGTGTTATCATCTGTTTTGTATCAAACCGTAAAAGGAGTCAGTGCTCTTCGTGTGGGGCGTATCCACCCACCTCCAGTGATCACAGCTCCCTCCAAAAACAAAACAATAGCACAGATTGAAGAGAAAAAACTACATGTTTTGAAGATAGAACAATTGTGGGCAGTAGGACATGATATACAGTTGTGCATTGTTTTTTTTGTATTATTTTATACTACGCAAAATTGATTCTTGTGAGTTTTAAGCCATGTTATAATGTTCTGTTACCTCCTCAAAACATACATGGAGTTGTGTTTTGTTCCATTCTCACATGTTTGAGTAATCCTTTTTTATTGGTCCATCTACATGTTCATTACCACATGACATCACAAGATGAAACAGTCTTTTCTGTTTAAGAGAAGGACTCAGCCTAAATAAGCAGGATTTATGTGTTTAACATGTGTGAATGACACAAAACAACAAATTCAGGTATGTTTGTGATGAGGAAATAAAATTATAACATAGATCAGAAAATAGCAAAATATGGGCCCTTTTTAATACTCTATTTTAGGGATGCACAATATGACACGATCAAAACTAAATACATTTGTGTTGCCCTAATTATCAAATTTTAAATGTTACAGATATTTAGTGCATACATTGTCTTCTGCAGATTTTTGGCCTCTACAAAAATGTTTGAAATTATTGCATTGGTTTAGCTGTTTATATTTCTGTCTTCTCTCAGCTTCTGGAGTTGTTTATAATGTGTACTTTGAACCAAATATTGTAATGTATCACAATGTCAGAAAAATCAGGTCTTACTATAGATGTATGGAAACACTGAGCATCCAAACCACTTTCAATGAATCAAAGTTTAGATGCATTATGGTGAAGGTAATTTGGGCTCTGAACAAAATGGAGTGTGTATGGGTTTAAGGAATTGGCTACATCATGGGTTAGCACCTATGATGTCACAAGGTGGAGCGCAGAGCATTTGCCCCTGTAAACATGGAGACAGACTAAAAATGCAAGATTTATTAATAATAATAATAATATAGTTTTACTCTTGTCTGTACAAAATTCACCAGATTTTCCACATTCAACATAATTTTGAAGAAAAGAAAATGTAAACCCGGCCAACCAGACTCCACAATAATGGCCTCATGTAAACAACAGAAGAACAGCTTTTGTCTTGAATTGATGATAGAACAGGCAAATTCTTTCCACTCCACAGTTGTCTAAATGTTATCACAGATGACATAATTTGGCAGTTTTAAGTTTAGACTAAATGACAAAAACATGATTACGTTCAAATACATTAAAGAAGTGTCCTATTTGTAATGCTGTAGTCAAAGAATTGTATCGTTTACATGACTCCAGGTGTTAGACCATTAACCCTCTGACCCTCATTTAGAAGAGTAAAGTGTAACATAGCAGAATGACAGCACTGGCCTGTTTACCTGGCCAGACAGAACCACGTGCTTTGAAAAAACTTTACAAAGATGAGTAGATCTGGAGCCTTATCCCGTCTCCCTGAATTCGGAGGCCGTGATTGACAGATGGATTAGCCAATTAGAGACGCATGCTCCATTTGCATCAAAAACAAACATGGCGGTTTATACATAAAAAAGGAGAAAAATCTACATAAAGGACTGAGAAACAACATGGATTATTATAGAATCAACAATCAAAACACCAAACTGTTATAAGTTAGCGATTTTTGTTCTGAATAATACAAGAATTTTCAAGAAGAGGCGTCTGTACAAACATGTTCTGAAATGAGATTCTTGTATTAGTTTGTCAGTTCCTGTTTTTCTATTTTCTTCTATTTTTGTCAATACTCCAGAACCCACTGATGTGTACTTTGAACAAAATTCTATTATTAAAACTATCTAATGGCAGTTCCTCTCAGAAAAATCACAATTAGGAATTGTTCAGACTTAGACCATACTCTGTTAAAACTACATCTAATCATGACCTATAAGGCTGGATACCATCATAGGGCACCTCTGGGATCAAAAAGTGAAGTTGCACTATGTAACTTTTGTGGCAGAGAGTCTACCTCCTGCTTGTTCCCAGGGGGGATGTTATTATTTTACCTGGAAAGGCCCACTGTATGGGATTTAACAACGACCAGGCATTGTTACGGGTCAGATCAGCAAAAAGGCAACCCCACTCTCTGTAAAAATGCAAGTTTTACAGGGTATTGTCAGTTTTAGTCGTGCTCTGAGTGAGTGGCAAGTGAACTGATATTCAGATTTTAAAAATCCATTGCATGGACCAAATTTTAAAAATTTACTTTCCGTTTTGTAAAAACAGTAACAAAATGTATTTATCTGAGATATTTATTCATATTTTCACTTATTTAGTCTGCTCAAAAAGACAATTCTGAGGCAGTGGGAATGACAAATGAGCACACGGAGATTAGGGAAGTACAGAAAAAAATTTATATTTTCAATTCAAGGGTTTCAGCTATGGCAATTGTCCTCCATGATCATAGCAATTAAACAACTCAAAAAAATGTATGTGTTGAATGGAGAAATTTCAGTCCTTCAAATCAGGAAGGAATTATCGTATTGATACCATGTCTGTAAAAATCCTCTGATATCGCTGATAATGGATAAATCATCCTTAGTTTCCTAGAGAGTATTTTTTGCCATGTTGCCCATCACTAAATATTAGCCTCTTACCCCGACATCCACTTCATGCGTCCTGTGCCTCCTCTGTTTGGTGTTGTTCCTCTACAGCTGAAGAGAGAAGCAGGTCAGAGAAAGGCTAATCTTTCAGCTCTGCTCTGGTTTCACATTATGAGACTGTTATTCACCTGTGTCCTGCTCCAAACAAATGTCCCCCTCAATAATTCACACGAAATGAGTCTGTGCCGACACACGACACGCTGCTGTAGTAACAGCACAAGTACTCACATCTGGAGTAAAAATATCAATACGCCAACTTTAAGACCAAAATAATAAACTTTTGTTACTGAACTGAGCTAAATATGGCTTTAAAGTACATTACAGCCGGCTTCAATCTCCATTTCAGATGCTACTTCAAGGGATTCTACTACTCTATATTTGTTACTCTAACACTAATTATACTACTGTTACTATCGTGACTACAATTAACTTCTAATGATAAAAAATTGGTTCTACTACTATGTAACAATAGTAAACTTACTTGCCTCACTATTCAATAACATTCAATAACTCACTGTTCAATAGCAGTTTCTCTATACAAAAAAACAATTAACCGTATTACCATAGGAGTGAAATGTGCACTATGTAACTTTTCTGTGGAGAGTCCACCACCTGCCTGTCTCCATTGAAGATGTTATTGCAATGTTCTGTGATACCCATCCATCTATTTCTTCTATTACTAATTTTTTCATTGCTGGAACAACATTCTGACTGAATGGAACAGAAAAAGTTGAACCTTGAACCTTAAAGGAGACATATTTTGCTTGAGCCTTACTTATAGTTATAATCTACGAGACCTGTGGATCATGTTATGATTTGCACATTTATAATCTAGGTATTCATCTAAAACAACTTGATAAAAGAAACAAGTCCACACAGCATACACATTTTTGTAGTTTTGCTTTAAAAAATTCCCAATAACATGTAGCATTTTTGAATGGTCAAAAGTCTTCAAAATGTCGGCTACATTTTCTATATCTTACTAATAATATTGTTCTAAACTAATGTTTTTTTTGTTTTTTTGTTTTTTTTCAGGTTTTATTCAGCAGAGATCATTTGTGGTCTTCAGTTCCTTCACTCCAAAGGAATCATTTACAGGTGAGTCCACAGCTGTTAACACATTATGTATTCAGATTGCATTATGTTTAATGTTTTTTAAACATCATGTTTTTCTATTGACTCAGTGTCGGTGCATTGTTACAAAGCATTCAATTAAACTTGTGGTTAGGCAATCCCACACTTTTAGCACCTTTTATTTTAATATTAATGTGTGGTAACGTGATAACTGTGTGTGTGTGGTTACTCTTTAATCAGCATTTGAATACTACAGCCCAGCCAAGCCAATAGTTGTTAAAACAATGCAAGCAAAATAAAAGTGATCAACATGATTTAAATAATACAAAACCAAAAAAGTATCCGGAGTCACATTTCGATAGATTAAACTGCTGCTTTAGTTAGTAATATTTTTTAAGTAAGTAAAACAATAAAACAAACAAATAAAACAATTTAAGTATTGACTTATTGTCACGTTGTAGTATTGTCTAACCTAGAAGACAAAACATACCAGTTTTTGTATTATGACAATAAAAATTAAGTAGAAGATGTAAATACAAGTAGGCCAGTAACAATAAAATGCAGTATAGTGCTACAGACAATACTGTGATACTGAAGACAATTTTAACAGGAGGCAAAGTGAGTATATTATCTGTATAGCTCACATGTCCAGGGAGACTGTTCCAGGTTTAAGCTGCATAAAACTGAAACTCTGGCTCCCCATATTTAGTTCTGACTCTGAGCTGCAGCAGGAGGCTGGTCCCCAAGGTCCTCAGAGTGTGAGACAGTTCATACGGTACTTGCATGTAAGAGATGTACCTTGGTGCTAGGCCATGGAGAGACTTGTACACAAGCAGAGCTGCTTTAAAGTCTATTCTCTGAGCCACAGGATACCATACCCTTTTGAATTATACTGTAAAGGAAAACAAACTGCCCTGTAGATGGTGAGAACACAACAAAACTAGGAAACCATGAAAAATAATATATTAAAAGGAACTTACAATAAAAAATTTAGATTTTAAAATTAGATTGTAAAAATGTTGTTTTTGCAGAGATCTGAAATTGGACAATGTGATGTTGGACCATGAGGGACACATAAAGATCGCAGACTTCGGGATGTGCAAAGAAAATGTGTTTGGAGAAAATCGAGCTACGACTTTCTGTGGAACTCCAGATTACATCGCTCCAGAGGTGACATGCACAAACCAGCACACAAATGGCCTTTCATAAATAAAACTCAACTAGGACTAAATCAAAACTAAACCACTATCTAAACAGGGCATTGTTAGGACCAAACTAGAGCTACATTACAACTAAACCAGACGTCAACTTGGACTAAACCAGGACTAAACCAGTTCTTAGCCATGGCCTGTATTTCATTACTGGGTCAAATTCTAAATCAGTCTAAACCAGGACTTGAACTGTAAAGACCCCCTGAGTAATACCAGAAATTCCAATTACTACGAGCTCAGCATGAAGCATGAAGGTGGCATTTAGAAAACATGACAAAAACATGAACAATATTTGTTCTATTAACTGACCCATATTATGATTTCCCCTGAGTAGCTTGCTCTCTAGCTGGTCTTGTACTTTTTTTTATATCAATTTATATCTGCAGTTTTGAACTGACATTCAATAGACCCACTTTTATTATTATGTAATTTTACTTAGTTTTAACAATATTGTTGTTAGAGAAATTGCATTTGTGCTGTACCAAGGTTTCTCAATACTTATTATCTTGGCCTGGGTCAGGTATAATACTACAGTGAAAGCATAGCTAGACTAGACTAGACTGTGACTAATCTGGAATGGACACTATCCCAATGTCCTGAGGGTTAATTTCTCTGTGTCCTTGGTCCTGTACTAATACAGTACATATTCATATGTCTTAAACTTGATTGGCATTGTCCTGTTCAGATACTGTTAGGGCAGAAATACTCATTCTCGGTGGACTGGTGGTCTTTTGGTGTGCTACTGTACGAGATGCTGATTGGACAGTCGCCTTTCCACGGAGACGATGAGGACGAGCTGTTTGAGTCCATCCGGATGGACACTCCTCACTATCCACGCTGGATCAATAAAGAGGCCAGAGACCTGATGGAGAGGGTGAGTACTAGTGTTGTCTCTATACTAAAATTTCAGACTCTATTTCATCATGTCATTTTCAAAATGAAATAATAGTACTTACTTTTATATTACCATGTCTTATATCTTTGTAATCTCTCAGTCGTCCAGGTAGGTTCCATGGTGGTCCATGGGCGTATATTAGTATAAATGGTGTTGTACTTGTTCTGATACAGCTCAAGATCATTCTAATTTAGGAAAGGTTCATTTCTGTCTTGTGGCTTTTTAAACATCCATACTTGCTTAAATGAGTATCTAGTTTAGATACTAGTTTTGGTATCAAAATTTGTCAAAATCCTCTCAAACATGCTATAATTTTAAAAAAATTCTTTAAACATGTTTTAGTGTAATAATTTGTTTGTTTGGTCATCACATCACACATTTATGCCTCTTTAACTAAAAATAATTGTTATGAAACTTTCTTTGCAAAAATGTATTTAACTTAACTCAGCTGACAGATAATTTTTTTACCAGTTCCTGCTATAAGTAAAAAAAACATAGGCACGGTGGCTGAGTGGCTAGCACTCATGCCTCACAGCTAGAAGGTTCTCGGTTCGATCCCCGGCTACAGGTCTCCATGAACAGTATGAAAGTGGTGTGTGCGTGTCAGTCTGCCCCAGGGGGACAGACTGACTGGGCACAAAAAAATGTGAAAAGCTTTATATAAATTACATATTGTAATTTCATCAATAGTAATAGTAGTAGTATTAGTAGTTTCTTTAGTATTACCATATGATCTGTACTAGTTCTAATACAGTTCAAGACAAAACAAATTTCTACTAATAACTATTTAAATATAGTTTCGATGTTAGTCTTTGATGGAAAGATTGTTAACCTCTTATGTTGCTCTTGTCTTGCTGCAGTTGTTTGAGAGGGACCCCAGTCGCAGGTTAGGGGTTGTGGGTAACATCCGTCTGCACCCATTCTTCAAGAGCATCAACTGGACCAGTCTGGAGAGGAGGGAGATGGAGCCGCCTTTCAAACCAAAAGTGGTATGTTTTTGGTCTTCTTTTAAACTGGTAAAACTGTAAAGCTTATGTGCATTTGAAAATCTTAACTGACTTCTATCAGTGGGTAACACTGCTGTCCAAACATTTCAGTGTTGACATATCTGACTTTATCTCTGTAACATAATGTAAATCATGCAGGCTTTCATTATTCTAATCACATTGTAATCTGTATTTCTTGGATTCTTTTTTTTTTTTTTTTTTTTTTTTTTTTTTTTGCAGAAAGCTCCAAACGACTGTAGTAACTTTGACCGCGAGTTCCTGAGTGAGAAGCCTCGTCTCTCGTACAGCGACAAAAACTTCATTGACTCCATGGACCAAACAGCGTTCGCTGGATTTTCATTCATAAATCCCAAAATGGAGCAACTGATAGAGTAAAAGCATCCTAAGTTACTGTTAATGTGACAACATCTTGGTACATTTAGATGTTACAAATTAGAGCAGGCCCTTGTATCGTATAGGTTGGTATTATCATATTTGTGTGCATGCATTATTTGTCCTGAATGTAAAAAGGCCTGTTTAATAATAATAGTGAGAGGTTTGGTCTCCATCTCAATGTTACAGTCATCTGTATTGGTACCATGAGTCACCTGTCCAGCTATCAGTGAGAAATTAGTTATTCAATTTGATTATATGATCTGGTTGTCCATCTAGTTTAATTTTTTTTTATATTATATAAGTTTATGCAATTATTTTCTGTGAATATTTGCTTAAAAAATGCTAGTAAATTAGCTTTTTGTACATGCAAAAGTGTGGAGTGGGGTATACTGTAGGTTGTTTTATGTATAATGTTCTTCAATGGAACTCAATAGTAAATGTCCACTTTGAGGTTTTGGAAGTCAATTTTCCATCCCTATTTGTCACAGGCATCTCAAAAAAAAAAAGATGCGTTTGATACTTTCTGGGGATAATCTGTTATGTGGTAACTAATGACGACAGCTAGTTATCGTCTGTCTCAATATTTGAATTTGAATTCTTTGTGGAAAATTTATGGGAAATTTACTTCCAGAACCATGGGGGGCTTTGACCGTTGAGCTCCATACTAACAACATTTATGCATTATAAAGTTGCACATGGTTGTAATGGTAACCAATGACATATGAATAAGATTGTGAAAGTTGTACTAAATTAGGTCAAGAGTGGTGTTAATAGTTTCGTATAGAAAAGTTATATCTAAAAAAACATACATTAATTGGCACATCATAGGGTTACGATTTTGCAAGTCCATTTAATCTTTGGAAACTTGAACTGAATATTTTACTTAAAAAAAAAGAACATGTCTGACCAGCCTACCTCATATAGACAACACAGCAGAAACACATTGAACTCTATAATGTACATTAATTTCATTTACTGTCACTGTCACTTTAGTTGTTGGCTGCATGTTCAGATCTTAAAACCTCAAATCAAAAACGGTTTCATCTCTCAGTAACCTTTCAAGGGACCATATTACACTATTTTCTGATTTATGTTATAATGTTGTTTTCTCATCTCAAACATACCTGGAGCTGTGCTTTATTTCATTCCCACGTGTTTAACACACAAACCCTGAATTTAGGCTGAGTTCTTCTCTCAAACAAAAACACTATTTGCTGTGCTCCACTGTGTTTTTAAACTCCGTACACCTTCATTAGAATCATTCAGATAATTTTTGCCCTGGAATTGCCAGTCCACTAAACAAAAACTTAAACAGAAAATTACCAGTAATTCACATTACAAGGTGGAACAGAACATTTTGCCCTTTGGAGAATATACAGCATTACTCAAACGTGTGAATGAAACAAAACACAAGAGTATGTTTTTGATGACATAACATGACTTAAAGCTCAAAAGAGTAAATTTTGTGAAATATAAGACCTTTAAAATGTATTCATCTACACAACAGGAAGAATGATGGATGGAAAAATGAGAAGTTGTGGTTTTGAGGTCAACTTTACTGTGCCATATTAAGAACAAAATGTGAGGTTGGCTGAGGTTTTCTACTGGTAAAAGTACTGTTAAACTGTAAGTACAACTGTTTTAAAAGTGTTAAAATGGCATAGCATCTGTACATAGACATTGTATATGGTTTTACTGTCTAACTTGTATCATGTATATTGGTAAGATAAGGATGTACTTTTTTACCGTTCTGTCTTTTACATCTGATTAAATAACCATTCACACCCAAGTGTCTTGTTTTCATAATTTCTCTATTTTTCAAATTGTTCCTATTCTTTCATAAGTTAATGCAGTTGTAAATAAAAGTAGTAAATAAATAGTTACAAGTAGGATCAGTATGAAGATATGAAGAATATGAAGAGCCTTAGTTTCCTTAGTATTCTCAACTAAATGATTGAGGATATGTGCAAAAAAATGTGTAAGATATTTTCTAATGTGTTCTCATTTTTAATGGCAATTATTAATTGTTTACTGGTTAAGGACGTTTTAAAATACATATTTAAAATGAAAATAAAAAGTAAGTATTCTAAGTATAATACTCTGGTCTGTAATGATAGAGGCGGAGTGATTACATTTTTGGTAGCCTTTTTTTTTTTTTTCTAAATCTGAACTGACTAAAAAATATTAAAATATCAATAATTTAAATGTGGATTTTACCGTACTTAAATGAGCTTTATTGCGCCCTCTAGCAGCAATTCTAGCACATTGACACCCGATGTCACCACGCAAAAACTAACACAATGGCCACGTACGCTCCACTGTGTACGGAAGTAGCTAGCTGTGCATTCCCTTTGACTGGCAATTCAATTCGTGGATTGCAAAGCAGTTTTACTTATTTTGTAGACTTTTAATGGTCATGCTGATATGGAAATATTTATGTATTGTTACAGTGTTTTGTTAAAATGAGAAAAGTATCGTTTTCTGCAAAATACGTGGGCTGTTAACCTGAAAAACACAGTAAAAAACTCAAGAAAGTTCAAAATGAGCACTGAAGATGTATTGAAAGATGCGTCTACTTTGGCGTCCTATAATGTATTATTACAGGTACATGCTCTATATTGCTAATTATTATGGCAAAATGTGTACAAAATATTAGATCTATATGCTTTTTCTCTTTTTTTAAATTTTAGGTAATGTTTCGTGTGCTCACCTTTGTGCTAAATGCATTCACGTTACGATTCGTATCTAAAGAGCTGATTGGAGTAGTCAACGTCAGGTAAAAAGACGCATAATAAAACCTTTAATTTACTGTAAAATGTGATTGTTTAATATTACATTATGTGTGTTTTCCATAGGCTCACATTACTGTACTCCACATTAGTATTTCTGTCTAGAGAAGCCTTCAGAAGAGCCTGTTTAAGTGGAGGATCAAGGACCAACCACAGCTGGAGACAAGTCATCAACCTGCTATGGCTCACGTGAGTAGGAATATAACTTATAGCTGATTTAAAGGTGTAAAATATTGTGTGAGTGTATTATTATTGCAAGTTTTGTTACTATTAAAATTTGGTTGTGTATTAATAGCTAGCTGTTCTTGTCATACTGGTTCAGTCATATGGTCTGCTATCAAGCCTAATGATCACAGGAAGGACCTTTACCCTATTTCTCTCTTTTTAAGAGTGGTATGGTAAAGTAGGCAATGTATTTTTAGGGTCTTATTGAGTACACCTGATTTTACATTACTGGTTAGAGGTTTAGAATATCAGTGTTAAGTTTTCTAAAATGGAACTACCCAGAGCATAACTAGCTTTGCAAAGTGTGATTTTGATTATGACTTAAAATTATAATATTAGAAGAACTTGTATTCTGCATAAATTCTAATACCCCAAATTTCTCCCTCAGGTTACCATTAGGTGTACTATGGGCAGTCCTTCTTGTCTGTGTTTGGTTGTGGCTGTTGGAAGTCCCAGACCCCCTCTCGGTGCCGTACTACAGCCCAGCCGTGGTGCTCTTTGCTCTGGGAGGAATCCAGGAGCTGCTGGCTGAACCGCTCTGGGTCATGGCTCAAGCTCATATGTTTGTTCGACTCAAAGTGATCTCTGAAAGTTTAGCCATGATTGCTAAGTGCAGCATCACTGTGGTTTTAGTGGTTTTTGGCCGAGAGTGGGGACTGTATATCTTTGCAGCAGCTCATGTAAGACATTAACCATCACTGTTTTTAATTACCATATGTTTGGTCCTAATAATCTGATCATATTTTCAGTGTGTATACAGGAACCCTGGTTTTATGTTACATTGCCTACTTTGTCCGATTCTTGGGCTCCAAAGAGGCGTCAGAGAAACGTTTTCCTCTGAGAAGTGTCAAAGAGCTGTTTCCGAGCAAAGCTGATGGAGAGGTAAAAGAAAGCAAATTAACCATCCAAAAAGGACACATAATCTCTATAGTATACCATAAAGGTCATAGAGATTTAACAAATCTATCAAATTAATTTGAAAAATTAAACATTTGGGCATGGTTACATTATTCATGTGGAAGCTCAGACTACCATTTTCACAATTTAGTTTCAATTAACTACGTACTTAACATGTAATGACTCATTGTCTTCTTGTTGACATTGGCCACTCCAATAACAATGCACTGGATTTGTATAGTGCCTTTCAAGACACCCAAAGCATGGTGATGCTCCCAGTCTGCACCATCGGTCCTCCAATCACAAACTACCAACACTCACACACACCATTTTCACACAAGGCAAGTACTGACCAGGCCTAACCCTGCTTAGCTTCTGAAATCAGACAAGATTGGGCATTGAGCATCAGGTATGGCCACAATAGATAATGCCCTCTAAACTCAACAACAAATGCCTTGACAAGGGTAGTTTGTTACAGAGCAGATTTTTAAAGGCATATACAACTTATATTTAGTTACAAATATACACACACATACATGTCTTTGAATAGCTTTCCTAATTGTAATTGTCTTCCCATATTATTCTTTCTGTAGCCTTTGGTTGACTGGACTCTGGCTCGTCTCACTTGGAGTTTCTTTAAGCAGTCCTTTTTGAAGCAGATCCTGACTGAAGGAGAGCGCTATGTCATGACTTTTTTAAATGTTCTGAGTTTTGGGGATCAGGGAGTGTATGACATAGTGAACAATTTGGGCTCCATGGTGGCACGCTTCGTCTTTCTGCCCATCGAGGAGAGCTTCTACATCTTCTTTGCCAAAGTGATCGAGAGAGGGAAGGACGTCAAGAGTCAAAAACAGGTGGGGACCAAAATGTTTAGTCATGGTAAAAACGTGTAAATTTGATATATTTAGTGGACAAAGAAAACTAATTTAAAAATCTGTAATGTATTTTTATGTATTATAATTGAGCACCTGCGGTTTATTAAAGAAAATTCAATGCGATACAGTGGAACAGTGCAGTTATTAATTTAAATAAGACTTTTTAGCACGATTTCACTTGCAAAAGCCTACAGGCAAGTTCGTTCACAGAAAGCAAAGCAAAGATAACGTTATTTGATAGATGGTAATGTAAAATGCCTGAAATTTGAAAACTGAATTAATAAATATTGAACAGAATATTAAAATCCAATATATAGATGTTTCATAAATCTTAAAACATGAGTTAGGGGTACAATCTATAAATAGTATAAGAGTATAATTTAGGTTCCACTGTACTTTAATTGTACTTAATGTGTCAATTATAATACCTTAAAAAAATATATGTATATTATAGGAGGAAGTGACAATTGCTGCAGAGGTCCTGGAGTGTCTGCTGAAGTTGGTGCTGGTCATTGGTCTCATCATCACTGTGTTTGGATATGGATACTCACATCTGGCTCTGGACATTTATGGAG